TTCACTCCAACATCAAAGGTAAAAAATAAAGTATATTTAGTGTTAAATCAAGTATAATAATAATAATAAAGGTTATTTATTATTTAATTTACTAAATTATTTACTTTTATATAATTATTTACTTTTGACTTTATTTTCACTATATTTTCAAAAATTATAAGAGCCATAATGTAAAAAAAAAACCTGTCTAATTGTCATTACTGTAATACATCATGCCTGTATACTTAAATAACTTTTATAAAAACGTCTTATTTTTATGTACATTATTATTATTAATTTTATTTTACATTATTTTCTTCATATATTTTTTTTTACAAATTCTTTATATTTTTAAAAGTAGGACCGTAATGCGGGGGAAAATATCTAATTGTCATTACTGTAATACATCATGTCTGAATTTATTATTGTTGTTTGCAACTGTCATTGTTTTCTTTATATTTTCAAAAAATCTTATTAATTGAAAAAAATATATATTACTATTAGATTTTTAGTGTTACTATTATTATTATTTAAAAAATCAGTATAAATAATAAAAAATAGCACATTGTTTTATTTATTTTATTTTTGTGTTTTGCTAATAAGTGATATCTAGAACCAATTAAAATAATTAGTCATTAGAATTATGAGGGTATAATGTGTTTAATTATCATCATGTCACAATGCAAAAATTGTAATGATCCTAAAAATAGCCTTAATTTTTGTTTATGCAGAATAATTCCTTACTGTCTGATTTTTGGGTGAAATGTGACCTTGAGTTTTTGCCAGTATTTGTGTGATTCACCCGTTTGTCTGGTTTTCGCCAGTAATTTACCGCATATAACAATATTGTATCCGTGTGTGAAGCTGGCACGTTATATGAGCGGGTCTGCGCGTCCATCTGGTTGAGGGTGTGTTGTGTGTCAGACGTGTTCGGTGTGTGTCATACTGAGGGTGTGTGTGTGAATATGTGTGAGCGTGACCTCTGCGTGTCTGGCTCTAACGGACCGTGTGTGTGTGTGTGTGAGATGGAGGGTGTGAGTGTTTCCTGTGGGTCGGTGGTTTTTTCCCCCCCATAATTCCAGCAGGTCTCAGGTCACCCCTGTGTTCTCACGCACATATTTTGCATTCTTTCCTCATCCAGCATTACCATACACCTTCCTCTGGGTTTGGCCGACAAATCTTTCCACCACTTTGCCTCCAGAACAGTCTGTTTTTCTCTCGGAATCCTTTGCTTTTCCCGCTGACTCAGCTGGGCAGAGACTGCCGGGATTACAGGTTGTTGGTGACAGTAATGTGTGTGTGTTCACTGCTCCAGTTATAAGCAACAGGTCCACATGCATTATATCTAGAAATATTAAGTGCATTCCTTTAAAGTTTATATTATTTATTTGATTTATTTGACATTATTTTCTTTATATTTTCAAAAAATACTATTAAGTGAAATTCAAACAAAAACTGTCATTACTGTAATGCAGTGAAATATTTATATACTGAACAAAATTATAAACGCAACACTTTTGTTTTTGCCCCCATTTTTCATGAGCTGAACTCAAAGATCTAAGACTTTTTCTATGTACACAAAAGGCCTATTTCTCTCAAATATTGTTCACAAATCTGTCTAAATCTGTGTTAGTGAGCACTTCTCCTTTGCCAAGATAATCCATCCACCTCACAGGTGAGGCATATCAAGATGCTGATTAGACAACATGATTATTGCACAGGTGTGCCTTAGACTGGCCACAATAAAAGGCCACTCTAAAATATGCAGTTTTA